GCCATTTTGTCTTTTCACATGTTTTTCTTCTTTTGATATCTCTGGACAGGAACAGTATTTTGAGTAGGTCTTCCCATTACTAGGCCCTGGGACGCTGAGTGTTAGGCTAAGTCGGGATAGGCCTTCAGAAGAGGAAATGATGTGTCTGCTTCTTGCAACCCTCCCAACCCAGACTCTTCCTGCCTCGCCTGTCTCCTCGTGAGGGCAGCTTAGCCAATCCTGGGATCTACCACAGGCTGCCACTATGGCTTCATGGATATTTTAAGCAATGCTGTCGAAGAGTTTTTGTTAAGTGAAGTGATGACAGACCTCCCGAGCCCCCAGCTACCACCTTACACTTCCCAGTGCCCAGACAGCATGGCATGCAGCAGAGTGGACGGGAGCCTTAAGTTGCAGCAAGGCAGAGAGTCTTCCCTAACTCCCTCCATGGCCGCTTCCGGCCGAACTCGCTAGCACCTTTGAACACTGTGTGCTGCACTCTGGCCCTGCTACACTAAGTGTCTGCAGTGTTTATAAGGTTGCAATGCTTCCAGAAAACATCTGCCAAGAAAGCATAGGATTTACAGAAAGGCAATGGGCATGGCTTGTGAGGCCTCCCAGATGGCGGGGGCACTCAGAGATCTTCCTAATGGATTGAGTTCACTTCATTCCAGATATCTCCTGGGGAGAACTGACACTCCCAGTGGTTGTTACCATTGCCCATTCCTGTGCAATCACTACTTCTGCTTTCCCTGATCCTTCCCCAGATTTGCTTTTTCAACCCTTTTCTCATATGCACAGCAATAGTGATCCATATGGATCAATACCTCCATCATTATGACACTCAGTTCTACTGACTAATAGCTAATGTGTATTCAATAATATATTTGTTGCCATTGATCACAAGTGCAAATTCATAATGCATCTGAGTGAGAGATGTGGCTAAATGGGAACCCAAGCAGAGGACTGCAAAGAAGCCTGCCCATACACTTAGAGCTGCTCAGCAGGTGTCCATTACATGTGTTCATCCTGTAGTGTCCTTAGCTTTGGCCAATGCCCCTGCCCTCTAGCAGCCCATACTTTGATGGAGGGTGCAGATGTCTAAGTTTGTGAATGAATGAAGTCTTTGAAGCACTAATGTAGAAAGACCCACATCCCTAGAGGTGAAAGGATGGCAAGGTCAAAGTCAGCCTGGGTTATATAAAAAGGCCCTGTCCATAAAGAAAGAAAATACTCTCCACCTCTGGAGAAGGAAGAGAAAGGAGAAAGGAGGGTGTGATGAGGTCTTGGGTGGGAGCAGACAAGGCTTCTGTAATCACAGCCTGCTTTCAGATGTGACATACGAGTCACTCAAACTAGCTCCAGCAACAGGTAGATAGTTAAGTATTGGTCGTTTAGGGACTCCAAGGATGGCTCTGGCTCGATGCCTGAGTAGACTTGGGGCCCCAACAGTGTTTTAGGATCCTGTTCTCTGTCTTTCGTCCTGCTTCTCTCTGCGTTGACCTCATTTTCTCCAACATATATGCACTACTTCCATGTCACTTGGCGGAACAGCCACGGGGACAAATGCCACCTCAGTGCTCTAGAGGAAAGGAGGGCTTCATTCTCTTGCCCCAATACTTGGGCAACATCTCTTATCCATTCTGCTTGGGTCACTTTGCCACCCCTTACATCAATCACACACTGCAACAAGATGAAGGTGTGTGATTGGTTCGGCTGGCTCTTGTTTAAGTCTGGTACTCAAGCTGAGCAGGGGTGTGACTAGCACTGACTGGTGTCCCTCGGGTGACTTGTACACCTGCGTTCCTCCGAGGAAGGATGACCAGGAAGAGAAACCCAAGAGCAGGCTGTCATTGCAGCCTGTTGGATAGCTAAGCCGTGCTTTCAGAGGTGAATAGTTTTTGTCAAGTGAAGCAGTAAGAGGCCTCCATCATTGCTAAGAGAAAGCAATAGGAGTGAAACCAGGAAGACATGTGCTGGCTCAGTAGGTCAGGAAGCTGCAGGGGGTTGTTGGGTGGAAGAATATAGGCTGGGAGTTGCTCCTTATGGTGAAGCTGTGGGATACAGGACAGCCTTTGGCCATGCTGAGGAATCTGGTCTTTATAGTAAAGACAGCCTGGGTTTTAGGTAAAGGCTAAGGACGGCTGCATTTTCATAGTAGAATATTGCTGTGGTCTTGTATGAAGACACATGCCTGTAATCCTAGCACTCAGGAGGCTGAGGCAGGAAAATGATGAGTTCAAGGCCACGCTGACCTTGTGGTGGCACACGCCTTTAATCCCAGCACTCGGGAGGCAGAGCCAGGTGGATCTCTGTGAGTTTGAGGCCAGCCTGGTCTACAGAGCAAGATCCAGGATAGGCACCAA